TTTTGGTTTTTCTCTGGTACCGGGAACCGAACTCACGACCTTGCGCTTGCCAGGCAGGCGCTTTTGCCGCTGAGCTAAATCCCCAGCCCCAGTGCCCCTTAATTTTGAAAAGGAACAGCGATAAGAATTTAAATAAGCTGGGCATGGTGGCACACGCCCATAATCCCAGCACTCCAGAGGCTGAGGCAGGAGAATCATTGTGACTCCAAGGCCAGCCTGGGCTACAAAGTGAGCTCAAGGCCAGCCTGAACTACATAGCGAGACCCTGTCTCAAAAAGACAAAAAAAAAAAAAAAAGAAAGCATTTAAATCAGAGTTCAACTATTGTCTTATATTAAAAGCTATAACATGTGTATGAATAGTTTTTATAATTTCACATTTCATGAAAAATTATTGCATCAACTTTGCTATAAGATTATATTTTCAATTGGTAAATTCAAACTAATCACTTAATGCTTAAATTTTTTCTTCTTTTTTTCCTATGGTCTGTTACATTACCAAAATTTTGGTAATGCCTCAATTAGATTTTAGTTTATAGATATTTCATAAAATATTGAGTAATATGAGATTGTAGACAAAATTGTATGTGTACAGTATCTTTAGAGTGAGTCCTCATGAAATCACTGTGATTTTCTCCCTATTCACTCAAGAATCTTTTTAAAATTAGCTTTAATATTATATATTTTAACAACTATAATTTAATAGCAGAAACGGATTTAATTTAGATAATATGTAAAAGTAAGTCAATTGAAAATCAGTAATTCTAACAAAAATAATAAATTATTAAAACTATCTGCATTACTTTCTCACCATTAATTTTTCAGCTCTAGTTTCAAATAGAACTTTTACCAGACAATGGCATGAAACGTATGTAACTGCAATGGTTGTTTTCTCCGTCAGTTGTGCTGGAAACCACAAAACAGCAGAGGGGAAACCCAACCTGCCGGTGTGCACACACAGAGCCGTAGATTTTAAGCCTTGCATTGAAATCAATACTCATCTCTGCAGTGATGTCTATCAACGTTAAATAAAGAGGTCAGAAAAAATTTGTCACAACCAAACCTGAGCTGACTGCTGAGAATGAAAAGGCTAAACCCGGCACATTTTCATCATCCGTCAACCTCTGTCTGTTTCAGAAAGCAGCCACACGCTTTCCCGCGCTTTTGCCTCCTGGAAAGGCTGGGATGCATCGTTCCCAGCGGTCTCTCCCCTCACTGAAAAGCACCTGCTCTACGTCTGCGCCACTTTTCACCGCACTGTTGCAAGAGACAGTGTGCCTACTCGGTTAGGACGTACTTTTTACCCTTCTCAGAAATTCTCCACTTTAATAATAACAGAAATCCACCAATGAGTGAATAGCTAATGGTGACCCTGAAGACACACGCAAACAAGGAAGAGTTGCTTCAGGACTTTGCAAACCATGTTATATATTATTAGCTGCTCCTGCCATTTTAGTTATGAAGACAGGGGAAAAAAAGAAAGGCCAAACTACATTGTGCAAAAAAGTGGCAAATCATAATTGCTCCTAGAGAGGAAGAAATGGAGAGGAAATGAATACAGGGTAACCAGGGTTGTTGTTTACATAAAATATTTGCTTCACAGTTTTGACTTTTGTGCTTTATTTGTTGCAGTTTAAATGGAATAGGATTCCAAAGTGGACTATGAGTTGGGAAAACATGAAGAATTAAATCTAGACATTATAATTAAGCCTACTGCCATGCAAAAGTACTTTCAAAAACTCGGGGGACATTTACACTTGAAAAACTAACTGTATTTGTTTATCACTCCAGTTTTGTGATTCTTGAACATATTTAAGCGAGAAAAACTATGTTGAGTCAGAAAAAAGTTTAAGCCAAAGAAGTAATAAAATCTTTCACAGAATATGAAATAGCTAAAAGTGTGCCTTGATTTAGTACAATTATTTTACATGTTTTATATGTTCTTCGGCCCATTAGTCTGGTTTAAAATCTGTGTATATGATTGACTTTATAAAGTTTTATAAGATAAATAAAGGAATTTGATTCTGGAAAAATAAAAACAGCGTGCAGGGAAGAAGGAAAAAGAAAGGAACTGAAATGTGCTATGTACATACTCGGATTCCTGCAGAGAATGTGATCATTATGTACTGCAGACATGTAGTCATAAAAGTAAAAAAAATACAACCTTTAAAATGTGATGTCAATAGCATGATACTCATCATAATCAAATAATTTTCCACCAAAAATGATTAAGCTGATTTTGTGGTTATATCTATCATCTATCTATCTATCGATCTATCTATATATATATAGCTTAAAATTTCAGATAACTTAAAGTATCAGTGGAAATAAATCATACAAAGCTGAAGAGAAAAATCATAATTGTTAATTGCTAGCCAAAATATGGATTATACCCTCATGAGTAATCAAGAGTTAACTGTAATCGTATTCAACATGGTTGTAATGTATTATCTTATTATGAGGTGATAATCTGGTCCTACATTACCATAAAACCTAAGTCACTTTAAATGAATTACACATTTTCTTACATTAAAAGAGTTCATAAATCAATATATTAGAATAACAACTTTGGAAAAGAACATTTTATTAGTGAAAACACGTGCAATTAAGATAGAATTTTTGGTTGAAGAATATATTAAAGAAAACATTAATTCCACCTTTGTTCATTCTGCACAGTAATTGATTTCACTACATGCTGATAGTTTTAATGTAAAATGACTTAAAAATGCTCTGAGCCTTGAATCAGGTTTCTTATTCTTTCCATATAATTTACACAAATAGTATTTGTGGCAAGCTGAAATATCCACACAAATATACTTTCAGTTATAAGTTAATAAATGAAAACTGCAGTGTGGTTTGAATGTAGTGTGTATTTCTCTTTAATTTGAATTATTATACACAAATTTAATTACTTCAGTTATTTTATCCTGAAAAGAATTGATTTCCTGAAATTTAAACTTAGTACAAATTATTTGGAAAATTTGAATATCTTGTTTACCTTGATTTTCATTAAGCAATTCTAGGGCTAGTGAGTATTTTTACAATTGTGATATTTCATCTTTGTAAGAGAGTACTAGAATTTTTTTTCTATTTCCTAAATTTCTATGAAATACAATTACATTCAATATTTTCACTTTTAAGTAAAATTTTTACCTGTCTCCAACACTATTTATAATTAAACTCTTAGTTTTTTTTTTCTTTTACCTTAACAAAGCAGTCTTTAAAAGCATCTTCAAACATCATAGAAATTTAACAATTCTTTAACTTTGAAGTGTATGATTGAAACATATAATCTCAGAAAAATGGAATTACTCTTCCGGTTATCTATAACGTTTACACTGGCTGGACTCTGTACCATTGAATGTGGGCGTGCCTGCAGCTTGGTGTCTTGGACCTGTAGGGACAGCTAATGGCTGGGATGTGCGGGGCGTCACCCGCGCTGCAGAGGGCTGCACATTTACCGCAGGGTCGTGGGCACACTGTATTGAGGAAGGAGTCCTTGTGAAATCACTGCATGTACCATGTGTTCCGTCACTCCCTGACCTATCCCTCAACTCAGAAACAAAGGCTAAGGCCCCAGTTGGCTTAGATTAGACCAACCAGGGACACATTCGTAAGGATGTAAGTACGAGTAGCGAAAACCCCAAGTCAGGATATTCAGTTGAAATCTCCCTGCCATGTAAGCATCCTCTTACCTGGCAGCTGTTCCTTGTATTTGTGACTTTCTAAATAAACTTTTGCCTCGCATTTCTTTCATTTCTGACTTCCTCATTCTGCCCCGGGGTCTGGACCCTGAAACACGGGTATGCAATAGTGCTGTGGTATGTTTTTTTAATTGAGTGTATACCAAGGAGTGTGATAGCTGGTATGGTACATGCTATTATGAATGGATTTATTTTCCTGATATTTTTCTCACCTAGTCTGTTGTTGATATACAGTAAAGATATTGATTGTTTAATGTTGATTTTATAGCCTGTTACATGGTTGAATTTATTTCTCAGCTCAAAAATGATATTTGGTGGAATTTTTAGAGTCTTTGAGGTATAGAAACAAGATTATTTTGACTTTTTCCTTCACTGTTTGTGCCCTTTATCATTTTTCCCTTGTGTAATTGGGGTAGAATTTCAAGAACAATACTGAACAAAATGTGAGAGTGGGCAATTCTTACATAGTATGGTGGGTAACATATTCTTTGTATTAAATGGTGGGACATAAGTCCTTCAGTAAAACTTCTTTTTTTGTTGCTGTTTTTTTTTTTTCCTAGTACCGGGAATCGAACTCACGACCTTGCACTTGCCAGGCAGGCGCTGTGCCGCTGAGCTAAATCCCCAGCCACTTAAAACTTCTCAAGGAATATGAAATTGTGCATGACCCACATGAGTTTCACATATATAAACAGTCATGGGAGAACAACTTCAACAAACGATGGATCATCAAGTTACACTGCATTTGAGTGCTTAGTAAAATTGCTTGGTGAAAAGAATGAGACTGAGAGCAGTTTGGAAACAGCCAAGACCCTGGGGTTGACCTCTAGCACCACATAAAAAAGTACAATAAAAGAAAAGTTCACAATTTCTCTTCCCATTGAATTATCTCAGTTAACAATTTTGCTAAAGTGGATTTTGCATTCCTATCTGTTACATGTGTAAAATAATTATTTTGCCAGAAGTTCATAAATTGGAAGAATCATTAACTATATTTTTAAAACATGTACTATAGTTCAAATGAATATATATAATAATCCTTCATAAATAATTACTACATTTTGATTAAAATATTTCAATATCTAATGTTGTGATTATAGGAAGTTATTAAATAACAGTTTTTAATAATTTTTAGACAGCTAATAGCATATTAGGAAGGTATTTGATTTGCTTTATTTTACACAATTAAAAAGAAATAATGTTTTATTTGGTAAATCCTTCAAAAAATGTATTTCATATTCTCAACAATAAAATTAGTGCACATGTAGCAAGTAATACATATGATACATACCAGAAAATTGATAGCAGATACTACAATTTGTCTGTTTCCAAAAGCTAGAGAGTAAGAAAAGAAAATGTAATGCAAATACTTGTATTGTGAATTGTTATGCTATACACATAGTTCAAATGCTTATTGTATACACCAACCCTTTAATTAATAATGATGTGCAGTATAGAATTACCTTTTGGAATGACACTTTTGCAACCTGAAGTGCAGAAAATATTTTTGCTCTCCACATGCATTTTTCTTTTAGTATTCTAAGGATATTTAAATATATATAATTTGGAATGGAATGGGTGGAATATATAACGAATTTTCATTAAAAGTTTTACAGTCACATTTTATCTCTTTCATTTATTATTTTCATCGCCAGTGGTAGTTTGGCATCCTGAGAAGTGCTAAGGAGTTCTGTGTCAGTTAATTGTAAAACTGGAAACAAGGACTTGTAATCAGAGAGGTCAGAAAGGTCTCCTTTGAGGGCTGGGGATTTAGCTCAGCAGCACAGCTCTCACCTGGCAAGTTCAGGGTCATGATTTCGATTCCCGGTACCAAAAAAAAAAAAAAAAAAAAAAAGAAAGAAAGGTCTCCTTTGAACATACAAAGCTTTGATCTATAAAAATAAACAGGAATTACTGCTGACAAAGAGCAGTTCAGGCTGGATGTGGTCGTACATGCCTGCAATCTCAACACTCAGGACGCAGAGGCAGAAGGATCAAAAGTTCAAAGCCAGCCTGTGATACAGAGTGAATTCAAGGCCAGCTAGAGCAAGACCCTGTCTCAAAACACAAACAAGAACAAGCTTCCAAATTTAATAAGAATATGTTGTGATAAAAACAGATACTAAGTGAAGTTTTGCATTGAAAATGTTTCTATATTTATTTCCCAAAACCAGAGTTACAGATAGAATATATTGAAACAAACTGCAGGATAACTTCCATCACAGTTAATAATTTCTACAATATTTTAATGTTTGGTTTATTATTTCATGCTTTGCGGCTGGGCATGTAACTCTGTGTTGAAGCACTTGCTTACTATAAGAAAAACCCGAAGTTTGATGCCCCAAAGTGAAAAAAATCACATTTAGATGATAAAAAATAACCTACAAAGTAGTTTTTTCTTTGATTCTGGACATGTATACTCTAGAATGGGAGTGAGGGTATACTTTCACCATTGATTAATCTTCAATAAAATAATTATTTTATCTGCACATTTCATTCAAGCTGCATGGAAAAAGGTATGTGCTAGAAATGTATATCTGTTATGTTTTTCATCTATAAGCTCATGTGTTAATACACAGATGCTATTAATCTTACCAAGTCAAATTCACTGCAGAAACATACCAAGGACCATGAAAATGTCAGGGCTGACACCGAGATTACGAAAAGAGTGGTAAAAAGAGCTACAGTTGAGACAGAGGGCAAAGACAGCGGTGAAAACTATGACAGTGCATATGAAAACATAAAAACTAAAAATCATAACTATAAAAAAATACCTTGAATGAAATATATAAATATGTAGATGAAACAACACACGCAATGTGCAAGTATATGCTGGAAAAATACACACTGTTATAAAGTGTAACTGCTCTTTGCTCCTTTGAAGAAAACTTCTGACTTGTAAAATCCAGATCAATTGTTCATTTCCGACGTGAAGTGCATGAGCTTAATACAAAATACATGAAGTAAAATACATTGAAAAATTTCAAACTTGTTTCTCATAATACCTCATGGGATTATAACTGTGCTGGTACAAACAGCTTTTATATGTACTATTGCCAGTTACCTTGCTGTAGTTTGTTTTGTAATTAATGTGATTATGCTTTTTTATTTTAAGGTGAAAAAAATCATACTTGCATGTGTAAACATCATATTGTGTCCCTCTTGTAAGAACCTGAAAGAGTAAATAAACCCTAAAAGCTATAATAGATATTGTGAAAGGGAAAGAAACTGCTCAAAAGGGAAGGAACAACTGGAATGAGGGAAAGGAGAAAGGAAAGACTGGAAGGGAAAAAATATATGTATATACAAGGGTAGCTGGGAGAAGTTTACTGCTGATGTCTATTGGTTTATGAAAGGAACATTTAATGCTTAATTTTTTTTATTTTTATTTTCATTTTGCTTTTGACTCAATACTTATTTAGGAGTGTTGTAGTTTCTAGATTTGATTTTTGAGGGCTTTTTGTATTTTAGTTTGTTTGTACTCAGGTTGTACTTTTAAAGTCTCTTTTATATAGCCTGCAGATAATGTAGTTATTGCTCTCTGGTTCTAAACTGTAGATTGTATCCTAGTTATTTGCTAAGTAAACTGTGAAAAATCTGCCTGCATTTTGTAAATATAGCCATAGTATCAGTCAAATGGAGATACCTCACTATATAGTATAGGCCAACTTTGAACTCATTATGTAGACTTGGCTGGCCTCAAATTCACAGTGATCCTCCTGCTCAGCCTCCTGAGTACTGGGACTATATTGACTATAAAATAAGTCAATTGTTTTGCATAGTAAGCACAACACAGGAAGGCTTAATCATAGTTAATGTATAGCTACTGTGTTAGGTGAATGAAAGGAAAAAGTGGAAGAGTTTTCCACAACGTACTGCTTGTGCAGTGATACCCGCCATCGTTTCCATGGACAGTTCTCTCTGCAGATGGCAGGCGCTCTCAGAAATGTGCACTTCAGTTGTCTCTCGTCTTCACGCAATATTGTGAACTGAAAGTTATGTCCCTTTTGCAGGTACAGAAAGATAAATGCCAATGGCACACAGGCTTGAGGAAGAGCACCACACTAAAGACAATGAAAACAGCACCAGAAATCTGACTTTAAGGCTTGTAGATGTCTTTGCTTGTGCTGTGCAGAGCATAATTCTGGGACAGATGCTCTGTAAGTGCTTGCTGAATAGAGGAATCAGCGCCTGACCCAACTCATATAGTATTATTTGAATACCCCACTATGTCCTTGAAGAAGGGAATCTTGTTTCCATCAGTAGGGTTTTCCTAAGGGAAAGTTACCATTAAATAAACATAAGCAGAATGAAATTCCGTTTATTTGCATGTGATTATATCTTCTGTATCATTTTAATGATAAAAATCATAACCATGCCCCAGTAAACAAACTGAAGCTCACTCAAAGGTTTTGTAATGGCGTGGAGGGACTGTACGCCTGAGAATACACAAAATGCTCACTTTTGATGTTTTTGAAAAAACGTAAATAATTTTGAATTGCAGGCAATCCTCTCTTTGCATTGTTGTACGTGACTTTAACAATGACAGTGCCACCTGATACTGGATGGAGTGATCTTGGCAATCAGCGGGGAAAAACTGTTTTGTTTTTTTCCAATTTCAAAATCATTATTATAATATTAAGCACCAATTCTAAATTCATATAAAAATAAAAACGCAATGATACTAACATTTATGTAGTTTACTGGAATTTAAAATTAGAATTTTGAGGATGACCATGTTTCGTTTCCTTGCAAGGAAAAAAAAAAAAAAAAAACACACAATACTGAGTAGCTCAGAAGTATATGCCGCTCGCTTTCTGGCACCCAGCCGCGATTCCTAGCCTGAACCATTTCGGTACCTCCGTGAACCATGTGCACCCTCGGCGGACAGTGCTGCACCCTTTTCTAGGTCTGTATCCATCTCAACACGTTTCTCCTTGCACTTGAAGTAGAGAAACTACCTCCAGTGATGTCTTTAATATACATATTTTACCTGGCTTTCTAGTGAAATATTTATATTTTTCTTCACACTTTCTAATTTTACTTTTAGCATTGTAATTTTAAAAGATTTTCCTCTCTACCAGGAATTAAACCATGGGGACTCTTCCACTGACACTATCCCCAGACCTTTATGGTTCTTTTTGTTTGTTTGTTTTTTGTTTTATTTTTGTCTTTTTGAGACAGGGTCTCAGTATGCAGTTCAGGCTGGCCTTGAGCTCACTTTGCAGCCCAGGCTGGTCTCCAACTTTCAGTGATCCTCCTGCCTCAACCTCCCGAGTGCTGGGATTATAGGCGAACGACACCACTCCGGCTCTTTCTGTTATACTGTATTTTCAGACAGAGCTTGCTGTATTGCCTAGGATATCCTCAAACTCGGTGTTCCTCCTGCCTTGCCTTTGAATAACTGGGATTACCGGCCTGTGCCACTAAACGTAATTATCACCTCTTGTTTCTTTGCTACATTTTCGTCTTTGTTGTTCAATATCTCTTTCAATTATCCATCAAAAATATCACTCAGCTTATTACAGGAGAATGAGAAGGCAACATGTTTTACAGATTGTGGGTAAACTGAATAATAGACATGCAGCTGTCAGTGAGTGTCAGACATGCTTATCCATTTCAGCTATTTATCAGCGTGTGCATCTATGTACTACACAGTGTTCCATGACCTGAAGAGCTACTTGTGAAGGGCATGCTTCATACATTTGTGATTCACACACTGAAGAATCTGAAATTTGAACCACAACTAAAGGAACTGGTATTGTTTAACTGAACTATAGTAACTGAATGTGCATTTGAACTGAACGTACATTTGAAACATGCAAAATACACATTTCCTAAACAAGATATTTTCTACTTAAAGGAAGTATTGTAATTTAATAGTTGCTTCCATGAAATCTGACCACTTCAAGTTATATATTTAAGGTTAATCATCATAGTGAAATTAACTGTGACTGTTTTCCCTAAAAGTACAATGAGGGATATTAAAATATTATTTTCCAATTTTGAAAGAGCCATTTTACAATTTTAGCAAATATTTTTAGTAAATGTTGTATATATGTTAACAAAGTCAATCTACCATTATTTGGTATGGGATGTATTAACATTTTTCAAGGGTTCTCTTATTAACATATTTTGGAGTAATGTATGTCTTCCATAGTTAACTACACTTGTAATAAGATATTTGAAAAATCATTTATATAAGAGCAGGAAATTTTCCCCTTCAACATCAACATGTTATTAAAATGTTAAAATTTTAAACTTTGTAATGTGTTTCTCTCCACATCTCAGCTGAGTTTAGTGAATACAATTAAGACCCTGAATAACTATCAGTACTTCAGTAAAAAAAAAAAAAATAGACCAGATTGTTATTTTCTAAAACTTTAAATAAAGCTTGAATACACCATTGATTTCCATTTATCTTAAACTTTACAAATACCAGAAATAAAAAAACAAAACTAATTGTCAGTTAAATGGGAAAATATTTAATTCATGGGCTCTGCTTTCTGCACTTCATGGACTACAGCAAAAGCTTAGAAAAGAAAATTGCCCCTGAAATAAAGAAATGGCGCTCCCTGACTGGGCCAGGCCTGCTTTCCTGAGGTCAGGAAATGAGGATTCAGGGTGGGCCCACTACATTTTCCTCCACATTGCCAGTCCAAGTCAGGGAAACCAAGATACTCAATACCTCAAGTTATACGTAGAAACCAATATGTTACAAGATAACAATTAAATATGTGTTATTGACTTTTAACAGCTCACAACAGGCTAATTGTTCATAAATACATAATTATATAGGCTTTAATTTTAGCCTTTATTGTTTTATTTTATATTTCCTTTTCCTTTTGAAGTTTTACATTCAACTGATCAATTTGCTGCATATGCTACATAGATGAAAATTTAAAAGTAAGTATATCAGTCAAATTTGGTGTCTGGAGTCTATATAAACGTGTAATGCATTATAATATGAAAGCAGTTTGATATTGACCTTTTTGTCAGTAGTTACTTTAAGAATGACAGGTTGCTTCCGTGTATAGCAATTTAATGCAGAACTTCGAGGTTATAATTTAGTATGGGGTTAGTTGTGAAGAAATTCTACTTACATGGTGGCGTATAACGTGGGTGGTTAATGTAGTAGGCGATCCAAGAAGTGAATCCCCAATATAAGGTACAACTCTACAAGTTAAAAACAGCAAAATAAAAGTTATGACAGATATAATTCAACACTCCCATATTCATTAATATCACACATTCCAACTTTTTTGCATGAAATAAAATATATTGACTACTATATAGTATATTGAATACTTCTGTCCCTAGTAAGATAGCATTTTAAAGTTACATTTTGTTTTTTGTTTTTTGGTTTTTCTCTGGTACCAGGAACCGAACTCACGACCTTGCGCTTGCCAGGCAGGTGCTTTTGCCGCTGAGCTAAATCCCCAGCCCTTAAAGTTACATTTTGAACATGAGTAAAAAAGTACTTTCTTATGCTCCACTCCTATTGCTACTAATGGATATTTGGGTCCCAGGCTACACGTACTTTTATATTTTAGATCCTTAAGAATGGCTTTGTTAATCAAGTAAAAATAAGAACAAAGTAATACAAATAATAATTGATATATTGTGTGATAAGCTCTCACAGTAAGTGACTAAAAGAATGAAATATTTAATCATTAGTAGTAACATATCTTGAGTTATTAGAAAAGAAATGTCTTAGATTTAAGCGTATCAGGCACTAACATTTTCATCGTACTATGATTTAGAAGCTGTAATATATTTTGTCAAAAGAGAAAATGGTATAAATGATTTTTGAGGAATTAGCATTCTGGATTTATTTTATTTTATTGTGAGAAAAATAGAATGGCTACTTGTTAGAATTTTTTAAAAAATAGATATTTGCCAAAAAGCTGAAGTTTTTAATGGTATACATTTTTTGAAAAAAACTTTAAATTGAACATTATTTTAAACTTGAATTGAGAAATTGAAGTAAAAGATGGCTAGAGTACATTTCCAATTAATTTCCCATTTTTATATGCATTTGAATGCTGAAAACTGCTTTTTGGAAAAGCAAATATGCCAGCATCACATTGACAGCTGTCATAAAAATATGAGCTAAAACATCATGATATTAATCTCACAGATGTATAATTTAGGGTTATTCATATTGAAATTCATCCTTTTCAAGTGGATCATAAGGAATCCCACCTCATAACTAAGTACTCCTCAAATGAAAAGCATTCCTTACAGTATCTACCTTATACCATAACATCAAGGTCACTCTTTCTGTGCAGTGATCATGTGAGGATTGCTCAAATGAAAAAAGTGCATTTCAGCAGCAGAAAGTTTATTATATCCTAATACAATTACACAGAAAAATCTGGTGCAGAGAAGTGAAACATAATTGAATGTTTTGCAAATGATCTAATATACAAAATTTATCAATAATAATATAAAATATAAAATGCATTAATTCTCACCTTTATCAAATTTTTCAAAGGAGTGTGACCTGCAGAAACTTTGTGAACAAATAAAGTTTCCAAAATATACCGGATGTAGTGTATGCAATGACAGAAGCAAGCCAAACTGGAAAAAAGAAAATAAAATATCAAGTTTTCCTTCCATCCAAATCCTAGCTTTCGGAATGGATGGAGTACTTAAATAATTTCTTAGTCTAAAATATTCTATTGGAGCATATCACTTCTGATAGTGAACACAACTATTTTTTATTTTATTCTAGAAATGTAAAATTTTTATTTAATAATGAATGGCATCTGTTATGAGATTGTAAATTTACTTCTGATGATACAGAAATAATTTATAATACCAATCATAAACTGTTATGTTCACACCTGCCCCAGGAGTAGGTATAAATATACTAATTGCAGAGGTGTTCATTTCAAAATGTCTCAGGATTAAAGCACACAATTTACAAGTTTTAAAAATATCTAAAACCTACTTAGAATGCATTTGACATTTTATAATATACAGAATAACTTCTTAATTATCTGGTTGGCCTTTAACAGGTACTAGGATTGTAAAAGTGTGAATTCATTTTCTATGCAATTATAATGCAGCATTTAATTTTTATTTTATTGGTTTGTGCTTTGCCTTTCTTCCATGTTATAATACTTTATCACTTTGTGCATTTGTCACTGTGTTCTAAGATAGCATTTCTTTTTGCCATTTATGCCTAATGACCTAGCTCAGTATGTAATTTACTACACATAAAAATGGATTTTGAGGTTATGAGACTGAAAGTTTATCAAAAATGCATCAATGACTTTTAGTAGCACTGTCTTTATTAAAAGCAAAAATAAACACTAACTTGGTGAATTAGCAACAAATCTATTATTATTTAATTATTTCACAAAATATATAAACATGGACATATTATGTGAAATACATGTTCTATGTGATGTGTACATTTACAATTGACAAATTCTGGAAAAGGTAAGGTAACAATCGGTGTGGGTATCGGGGGGATCTGGTTAGCATTCTAGGCAGTAGGAAATCTCAAAGGTCCTAATATAGAAACTTTTCTTGCAAATTCCATGGGTTGGTAAAGGAAATAATATCTCACTGCTTCTCGGTTATTTTGTGGAAGTAGTTATTTAAACATCCCACGTAATATAATTAACATTTCATAAGAAAATGGGAAATTTAGGTTAATCCTAGCAATGTAGCCAAAGCTAAGGTAAGGAAACTTGGTTCAAGCTAAGATACCTCAAAATTAGATCATTTGTTTGATGCTTTGCCCCAAGGGCATAGAGATCAGCATAGCATGTGCACCTTGAGTTTTCCAGCTGATTGACTGAATGCCACAGCACACATCACTGGCTGCTCACCACGTTTCATTTCATTCTAAATTATTATTATTCACTTAACTATGCTTGACTTTCTATCAAACACTTTTTTTCTCCCTCTATCCATTGCTAAGCTAACGGTAACCGCATAAACCAGATTTGGTCCTCTTATTTTTTTCAGTCATAATATTTGAAACTTTCATATATTTTATTAAATAAGGTCCCAGATGTAAGGGCTAGGAAATGAAGCACAGCTGCAGCTTTGCATAGCTGTGAGGAAACTTATGCACCAAGTTTCAGTTGAAGAAAAGGAAGGAAACATTTAAGTAATAAGTTGATGTTCAGAAAATATTTAATGGGTCTAGAAGTTCTGGAGTACATTTATCCTTAAAGAACTAAAGAAATCTGTGGGGCTTGAGTCCCATACAGATATCTGACTTTTGCATGATAGCAAAAAGCGGACTTTTGAGCCGGGTATGATGGAGCACATCTGTAATAATACCAGCATTTGGGAAGCTGAGGCAGGAGGAGGGCAGTGAGTTGAGAGAAAGCTTGAACTACAAATATACATTATATATGTCATATATGTTTGACTTTGGGATATGAGTAAAAATATTTCTGTGAACTTAAAATTTGGGTATGTGACAATAGGTTGTTATTTGAAACCTGATCTTATCGTTGAATAATGACATAATGGAGGTCCATAGAAGTTTTGAAATTATTTCCATACATCCTTTCCCATTGCACAGGTAGTTTCTGTATGTATATCTCTCTGAAATAATTTACCATAACTATAACATATTTGCTATTTTGGAGAAATTTGGCACCTTTTTTATACTAAACATGTTGTATTTGTGTTAAGAACAGTAGCCACTGTGGGTCAATTCTTTTCAGGACTCTGCTAAAAAGAACTCCTTTTTCATGCAATGCCACAAGGTTGGTACATGTTATGCGTTTTCCTTTAAAAAATGGGTGCTACTACATTTCTCCTTCCAATCTCTCAACCTTAAGCTATTTTTAAATGAATCAAACATCCCTCTTGACTTACAAAAAATAAAGATAATATTCTGAATGCTTACTTAGAGCCAAAATCTCCTTGCCTCTCTGCCTGGCCACAATAGCCTTCTTTCTGCCCTGTAATTTATTAAACTATATTGTAACAGAGAGCATTTCCGTATGAAAATATCTCCAATTCAGTAGTTGAAATCTGATTCATCCCTTCAGAAACACAAGAAGAAGTTTTCATGTCACTTAGAAATGCCATCTCAAAATGTCCAGTCATGTTAGGATTTTTCCTTTCATCCTTTTAAAGCATCCAATGTGTATATACTTAGTCTCTGTTCATTCAAACATTTCATTGGGTATTTCCTGTAGGCAAGTAATGTTTTAAACAGCACAAATAGACCAGGCACCTAAGTACATCTATTATAAAATTTTAACCCTAAAGTGAAAAAGACAAAACATGATTCTATGAAAGTAAATTTTTCAAGTATGAGTTGCTTAGAGGAAACTCCTTTTAACAAGGTTCTTGGTATGGAAGGAGTAGGAGTGGCTGTCTAAATAAGAAATATTGATCTTCTATTTGAAGTGTGAATAACAGAACAAAAAGAAGCAATGCAAGCTGAGGCTGGGGTCGGTGTGATTGGATTTCCATAAGGGAAATGGGCCATGGTGGGTAGCAAAAGCTGTCCAACTGCAGCACAGCAATTAAAGGAAAGGGAGCACTTGACTGTGATGAGAAAACTCACCTTCAATGCAGTTCTCCATCTTCTGGTATCCATAAGACCTAAATATTTATACTTTGTTTCTTAATTAACCTGGAGCATATTATATTGTATGACATTTGATCAAATTTTATTTTCTTTTAAATAATTTGTAACCAACTACTTAATGTGACATTTTAAATAATCACATTTTCATCTTAACTTGGCATACCTTCTAGCATGTTATTTTTAAATATACTAAATAATCATACTTGCACAGTCCACAGTGATAACTGTCCTATTCCTTTTTTAACATTCCATACTTAAGGATGTTATTTGATTTCTGATTTTGATTTACTAAAGGTAACCAATGAACCTTTTCCTTCTACTTATTATTGAGATCATTATTATTTTCTATTGCAACATTGCAAATGTCTTTTTTCTATCTGTTTGAGACACTGGGATTGAAACTAACAGCTTCACAATGAGTCACATCACCACTACTCTGTATATTATTTATTTATTTATTTATTTATTTATTTATTTATTTATTTATCTATCTATTTATTTATGTTTTTGAGATAGGCTCTTGCTAGGTTGTCCCGGATGGATTTGAACTTTCAATGCCCCCCCACCTTAGTATCCAGGGTGCTACGATTACAGGTGTGTGCAATTATGCCAGGCTTTGCTGGGAATTTTTAGAGAAGTATTTAATCTTGTGCCCAATATATGGGTTTTTAGATTTAGCTTACTTTTGATGATATTTCTGAATTTTCCATTCTATTTTCTTTATTACGGTCATTACTACTTAACTTACCTCCATTTGAGGTATACCTAATAGTTCTATATTTATAAATTTGCAAGCTTGTTTATATACCAAGCTGTTTGTTCCTAAGCTGTATGTTCCCATATTTGAGACTACTTAATAAGGTCTATAACCAACCTTTATTAACAAAGACCTGCTTATTGCAAAATGTCCCTGTTATATGGGACATAGTTTTGGTGCATTCATACTTACTATGGTATGGTGTGTTGCCATGGTTTGTGTCTAGACATTCCCCCCAAAGCCTCACGTGGTCATAGGGCTTTTCCAGAGGTGGCTGAGCCTAGAGTGTGTGATTCTGGGATTACAAGTGTGTGACTGGTAAATCATGCCACTGATTGGTTTGGCATATTTCTCTTTAGGATTGAGAGTGTGAATGCTGCACCTGCCCCAGGGTGAGTAGTCTTCACACAATATAAGGGACGGAAAGAGTTTCTCCCCTCCCTCCTGTTGCTTTGCTACCTTGCGGGTACCATGAACTGTTTCTCATCTGTGATGGCCCTCTGTCACGGCCCACTCTGTTTTGTAGCCCGCTAATATGGACTGAAGCATCCACAAACTGTGAGCTAAGTAAACCTTCATTTTAATGTTGGGTGTTGGAAATTTTGTCTCAGCAATGAGAGAAAATCAACTTTGACAAATATCTTCCATGTTAGTATGATTTTATGTCCAATTTTGATGTTTTGTCTTTTTCCTAGGCTAGGAATAGATAGCATGAAATTCTTCAAATACTGGGCAGCAATAGCAAAGCACAGTTCCACATTGTACTGTGTTACTAAACTCTGATAACCTAAATATTAGGCATGTTAAATTTATTTAATATATGATTTTTTCAGTTTCAGGTGGGAGAGCGATTGCAGCTCTTCATCGTATGCAGCATGTACTAGCATGCTACTTACTGTACCACTGGGTGGCGCAATCTTCTAGCACTCTCCTTCATGTCATATATATTTGAAATCCGAAAGTAAAACAGGAGGTATATTAGCAGAGGTCCTGCATATTCAGCCAGAAACACCTGAAAATTAGAAGATTTTTTGATTAAAACATAAATTTTCATAGATTTTTTTAAAAAGATTCGCTTGTATTCTTCATCATTTATCTGTTTTAAGGAAAGAAACTAGATGATAACCCAAATCTTCCTTGGAAGGAACAGCCAAGTGTTGATGAAAATGGATAAGATAGAGTTTATTACCTAAAAAACTAAATATTGAATCTTTTTAAAGAAATTGTACATATATAAAAGATACTATATTTGATGAAATAAAGCCTGTTAATTTTTTTTTTATGTTTTCATAGCCCACTACATATTCTTTCATATGTATTTCCTTATCACTGACTGGTATGGGCTACAGCATGCACTTTTCATTTTGTTTTTCTTCTTGTTTACATTTCCTTTTTTTTTTTTTTTTTTTTTTTTTTTTTTT